CCGGGTCCGGGGCGCGAACCGGGGTCGACTACGTGGGAGTCCAATGACATAGCCATTACGCTAACTGCTGGTTCCCAATAAAAGGCTTTTAAGCTAAGCTTTCTTAAAAAAAAAAAAGAAAGATAATTAAGCTTAAGTTTAAAAATTAAAATTTTTGTTTCAATAAATTTTAAAAACTCATAAGGTTAATAAATTTCTGTTAACTAATTGACTTAAAGTAAATGGTCTACTTATTTTCAAAGTAGACTTGATAGATTGTATTTTAACAGTTTGTAAATTGATTCTAATTGATGTTATTGACAATGCCAAGGGATTTTTTTGATGAATTCTGAATAGTAAACATCTTAAAATAATAAGCCAAAGCAATATAAATAAAAATATAGTTTGGGATATATATAAAAGTAAAAGTATTTTACTTAAAATCTTGACAAAAATATTTTCTTTTTTTTTGACAAAAAAATATTTTCTTATTGAGTGACATGATTAGGATCAAATACAAGCCTAGCAATTATAAAGTTATTAAGCAGATATGTTGGTTTCTTGATCTTTCATGTGCCGAATATGGATAAAAATATTTTTTAAACCAAAAGGGAAAAATGAAATGTACATATTTAATGTGAAACCTATGCTTTTATTTTTGCTACAAAATACTTAATTCTAGGTCAAATACATAAATATATGAGATAATCATACAAGTATTTCGTTTTCAACTACAATCAGTCAATTCCTGTCTTGTTTTAGATGCTTGTTAAATAAGAAAGTACTTGCTTCTAAATTAGAAAAATTAGAAGACCACAGCAAAAAATAGACTGCCTCCCTTGTGTATATCAGTGGCAGGGAGCGTTCACTGATCCAGAACTCATTTAGGGACAGAACTCATTTAGACCTCTTGAGTGAATAAGCAGACTTCAGTTCAAAGTTCTTCCTGTTCTCTCAAAGTCAAGTTCTCAAAGATCTAGAGAAAGGGGCCCTCACAGAATCATGCACTTGGATTGAAAGGATAAATAACTCTCAGTGTTATTCTGCAGTTCTCTGGATGATTTTCAATACACTCCTATCCTCTTTTCTCTTTCAAGCTCATGCAGAGGTTGAGATATTTCAAAATTTCCTTTTGTGGCTTATTTTTCTAAAGATTCAATGTCTTTTAAAGAATCTTATCACTTGAAGTAAAAAAAAAAAAAAAATTCTAGGTCATCCAAAAATTGTTCAACTGGATAATATGATGAAAACTGTCTGCTAAGTAGGTTTATTTCTGCAACCATTCTTTGTCTTCATAGGATCTTGTAAAATTTGACCTACTAATTTCTTGAAAGTACTCCTTACAGCTCAAACACTGGGTTAAGAACTTTCCTGGTAAGTTGCTGTATGTAGAAATTGTCAGTGCTCCTCTTCAAGATTGTTATACTATCTTAAAATTGTTTTCAAGTGAATTGGCCTTTGTTTAATAAATTTAATCATTTTGTGGCATCACACTTTTTTTTATATTTAAAAGTATTTTTGTTTTTTGTTTTTAACACCAGTAGTTCTCTAGAAGAAAATCAATGCTTTGTGAAGTCAGTGTGAATATGAATTTTCTTGGGGCACCATCAACACAGATGCCAATGTGGTTCTTGCAAAATAGACTGTTTTCAAATGTGAAGATAATCATCAAATATATTTTCTACTTTTTTTTATTTTTGGGAGGATTTTGCAGTAGAAAAAATGTTATTATATTTTATGTAATTTGGTAATTTTTTTATCAAACGGAACAGAGAGACTGCTATTTTTGAGCTTATTATTAAAAATTTCTTCAGTGTCATGAACTATGTCACCAATATATTGGGTCATTGGAAAAGTCATGATGTGTTTTTCTGTTTTTCTATTTAAAAATCCATCATGACTTTTCCAACAACCCAATAGCAATGAATGAGAGGACTTCAAAAAGTTTGTGGAGGGGCCAGCAGGTGGCATAGTGGTACAGGTACTAGACTCTCACATGGCTGACCACAGTTTGAATTCTAGACATGGCAGCTTGCTCACTTTCTCTCTCTCTCTCTCTCTCTCTCTCTCTCTCTCTTTCCCCCTCTGGTGAATACACATGCTCTGCAGCAAATTTTAAAAAAAGATAAAAAAATAAATAAATAATTCTTTTTTTTTTCTTTTTTTTTTTAAGAGAAAGATTTTTGCTATATGGTCTTTGTGCTTGCCAGAGAGACAGTGAGAAAGACAGAAAGTGAGAAATTACCCCCAAGAGAGGATGGCTGTGCCACAATCCCTTCTACTTTATTCTCCTCTTGGGATTTTGGGCATACATGCATATGTGCCTGGCATGAGTTTTAAGTCCTGGGTCCGGGGCCCAAACCACAGTCAATTATGCTAGTCCCAATAAGTCATACTTTTAGAAAGTTTTCAGAACCAGAAGATGGTATAGTAGTTATGAGGCTGGACTCCCACATGACTGACTGAGTGATTCACCTTCTGGACCTGCCCAGTGGCTTGAAAATCATGCTGGGTATGTGCATGCCTAAGATCTTGGGAGGAGAATAGAGGAGAAGAGATTTCTCTTTGTCTCTGTTTTCGACAAGCAAACACACCCTAAGGCAAAAACCTCTGGAAAAAAAAAATCTTAAAAAATTTGTCGGAAAAATAGATTAAAGTACAAGTTTAAAGAATTAAAGTACAATTCTCTGAATCAGAGAATCTTCTACATTACCTCCTGATTAATATGTTTGGATTTGTGTAGTGCAATTTTTTAAGAGATATTTTTACTACAGAATGCATGTGCGCAATGGAGAGACAGAGAGTGACAGACAGCGAAAATCATCCCCTGGAGGGATGGCCATGCCACAGTCCCTTCTCCTCTATTCTCCTCATGAGATTTTGGGCATACATGCCACATACACCTGAAATGAGT